TGAAGCCCACAGAGAAGTAAAAGTTTCTTGGCTTACTAAACTTTTTAATATTATTTTGAAGACTAAAACTATGTCAGATGAGTGGAGAATGAGTGTTTTGACTCCTATTTTTAAGAATACATGTGATGCATAAGATTGCAAATTATAGAGGAATTAAGTTAATTTTTAATATTTTAAAACTATGGGAGGGAGTTATGCAGCATATGTTGCGATGTGATACTAACGTTTCTCAAAATCAATTTGGATTCATGCTGGCTAGGTCTACTATGGAAGTTATATATTTATTGTGAGTTTTAATAGAGAAGTATAGAGTAAATAAGGAGGATCAACATATGACATTTATTGATTAAGAGAAAGCATATGATAAAGTTCAAAAAGAAGTACTGTGGAGAGTTCTAGGAAAAAAGGGGTCAATAATGCTTATATTTAAGTCATTAAGGATATGTATGCAGAAGTTATTACATGTGTCAAGACACAAGGTATTTTAACCAAGTATTTTTCTATTTCAGTATGATTACATCAAGGTTTACCCTTAAGCCCATATCTTTTTGCTTTAATTATGGATGTTCTCACTAGACATTTGCAAGAGGTTATACCCTGGTGTATGCTTTTTGCTGATGATATTCTTCTTGTTGATTAGACTACAGGGAGTTGAAGGTAAACTTGAGTTATAGATGTTAACCTTAGAGTCTAAAGGCTTTCATTTGAGTAGATCTAAAATTGAATATATGAAATATAATTTTAGTAATAATAGTTATAGTGGGGAGATTGTGACTTTGGGTGATCAAGTCATTAAAAAGAGCACACATTTTAGATATCTTGGGTCTATTGTGCAGAGTGATGGTGAAATATATGGGGATATTATTAGTAGAATTCAAGTTGGATGGTTTAAGTGGAGAAATGCATCAGACTTATTGTGTGGTAGACAAGTCCCCCTCAAATTTAAGGGAAAATTTTATTATATGGTGGTTAGACCTACAATGCTTTATGGTGCATGATGTTGGCCATTAAAAGAAAAGCATAATATTAAGTGTTGCAGAGATGAGGATGCTCAGGTGGATGAGTGGCTTTGCTCTTACAAACATGATATGAAATGAGCATATACATGAAAAGGTTAGAGTAGCCCAAGTGGAAGATAAGATCAGGGAGAGTCGCCTTAGATCGTATGGTCACTTAAAATGATGGTCTTCCGATAACCTGGTTAGGAAAGTAGATGTATTAGATTTGATTTATTTTAAGAAGGATAAAGGCAGACTTAAAAAGACTTGGTTAGAAAATATTAAAAAAGACATTTCTTTAATAGATTTAAATGAGAATTTAACTTTTAACAACATAATAGAGAAAAAAAAGGATTCATGTAGCCAACCCCACATAGTGGGATAAAGGCTTGTTGTTATTGTTGTTATGATTAATAGAAAGGTAAATATTTTATGCATTCATGAAACTAAATAGGTTTGAAAGAAGGCTAAGAAGATTTATATTTTAGGATTTAAACTTTAATATTCTAGTTAAAGCCGTATTAGAAATAAAGTAGGTGTGATTATATATAAGAGTTTGGATGATAATATTATAAAAATTGATAGAATTAGAGATGAAACTATAGCTTTGAAAATTATTATTGATGGTAAGATTATTAATATTATAACTGCTTATGCTCCTCAAATAGGTTTGGATATGTGTTTAAAATAAAAATTTTAGAATGACTTAGAAGAATTAATTCAAAAGGTCCATCTTAAAGAAAGAGTTTTTATTAGAGGAGATTTAAATAGATATATTGATAAAGATGTAGAGCATTTTAAATGCATTCATGGTGACTATGAGTTTAGAGCGACTAATAAGGATGGTAAGATCATTATATTAGATTTTTCTCCAGGTTATGATTTTGTAATTGCTAATATCTTATTTAAGAAAAGACATGAGCATATCATTAATTATAAGATTGGATATAGTAAAACTTATATTGATTATTTTTTTTATAAAAAAATAGATCATTTAAATTGCAAAGATTGTAAGGATATTCCGAGTGAAAGATTATGTACACAACATCGCTTATTAGTTTTAGACTTTAAGATGAAGGGATAGAATATGAAAAATATGGTAAAATATTGTTTTAAGATTAGATAGGGGCATTTAAAGAGCACTAAAAAAATATTTTTAAGTGTAAGATTTGAGATCTTAATATTTTTTCTGTGCATGTGGAAGCGAATGCTATGTAGGAAAATGCAAAGGATGTAGTTGGAGTTTTAAGAGGCAAAGCTCATAATAATAAAAATACTTGGTGTTGGAATCAAAATGTGTAAGAAAAAATAAAAAAATAACAAGCTTTGTTATAATAATTAGTTTAGATGTAAAAATACTAAAATTGGAAAATATATGAGGCTCATAAGATGTCTAAGAAAGCAATCTGCAATGCAAATATTTTAGCTTTTAATGATTTATGTAAAAGATTAGATTCTAAAGAGGGCAAACGATAGATGTATAAATTCGCCAAATAAAGAGATATGAGTAGTAAGGATTTAGTTAAAGTGAAGTGGCATTAAGCATGAAGATTAAAAAAAAAACGTTTTTTAGAAGAGGATATTTCACAAAGGTGGATGAGATATTTAGCTAAGCTTTTCAATGAAGATTATGAGAATACGATTGACTTTAGTGACCTTAGCACTCTAAATGAAAATAGCATTTTTTATTTTTATAGACGTATCAGAAAAACTCAAGTTAGAGAGGCTTAAAAAAAATAAAGTGTGGAAAAACTATCGGACTGGAAGATATTCCAATAGTGGTGTGGAAATGCTAAGAATATGAAGGAATTTCTTAACTTGCTAAACTTTTTAATATTATTTTGAAGACTAACAAGATGTCAAATGGATTACATCAAGGATTAGCCTTAAGCCCTTATCTTTTTTGCTTTAGTCATGGATGTTCTTACTAGACATTTGCAAGAGGATGTATCCTAGTGTATGCTTTTTGCTGATAATATTCTTCTTGTTGATAAGACTTGAGAGGGAATTGAAGATAAACTCGAATTATGGAAGTCAACCTTAGAGTCTAAAAGTTTTCGTTTGAGTAGATCTAAAATCGAATACATGGAGTGTAATTTTAATAGTAATAGATCAAGTCATTAATAACTGTACTCATTTTAGATATCTTGGGTCTATTGTTCATAGTGATGGTGAAATAGATGGAGATATTATTAGTGGAATTCAAGTTGGTTTGTTGATGTTGTTTTTGTTGTTGTATTAATATTTTTCATGAATGCTCTTCGTTAATGCTCAGGGGATGCTATCTTAACTGTTTATTATCTCATCAAGCAAATCCCTCATCCACTTTTAGAGTACACCTCACTTAGCTCTATTTTTTTATCTCAATTAAACTAAAATTTAGCCTTATACCACAGTCTTTAATCATACTTGCTTTGTTTCATGTGGTCTACTTGCCAGAAAATCTGTCCCCCGTGTTATTCAATGTATCATCTTTAGGTTTTCTTCTACTCAAAAAGTTCATTGGTAGGCTTTATGATCCACTTGCACAACGTTTTTATACAGTAGTAAGTTAGCACATGCCAAGTTCAAAGAATAGGCATTAAGAAGCTATTATATATATATATATAACAGCTATAACTTAGGCTTCATTTGGGATGAATTTTTTTGCTTTCTAAAACAATTTTATAGTACAAAATTTTAATTCAAAAAATTTATGTATTAAAAAATTGTTTTAGAAAATAGTGAAAAAAGCATCCCAAACAAAACTTAAATTTGCATGCGAAATGATGCAGTTTAAAACTCATCCAGAATAGTTTAATTATCTCATTACTCAACGTATGGCTTTATATTATGATAATTATATTGCAAGCTATATTGCCAGTGATCTTACTTTTTCATGAATGAACTAAATATATTAATATAGATAAAAATTTCATATGGAAATACTTTCCAAGAAAATTACACTCCTATCTTCGGTTCCAAACAAATGAAGGATATCTTTAATAAGGCTCTATGGCATCTTCCTTTTGCTTGTTTTTACAATAAGTTGGAGCTTACAGATATATATGCTCTAACTTGGGAGAGTTGACTTCTGATTTCTTATTTGAAGTATCATCTTAACCAGCAACAGAATTCTGGGAATGTCCAATTTGTTGGAAGTGGAACAGCCATGGGTCCTCCTGCTTCATATTCTTCTTTTCCTGTGAGACCTGGTGAACCTGATTGCCCATTCTTTGCCAAAACAGGGGGTTGTAAATTTGGTTCTCGCTGCAGGTTTAATCATCCTCGCATAGGAAAGATAACTCTTACTTCAGAGTGTGAGTTGAGCCCCATTGGCCTTCCGCTACGCCCAGTAAGCTATCCTGCTCACTTCGTATAATAAAGGACCTTGCATATGATCTTTTTTAGGTTTCGTTTGTGACGGCTTTCTTATTACTTCTTAAAACATCTTTTTAGTATAAAAATTCTAATTTTTGTACTAGAAAGTTGCTTTAAGAAGCAGCAAGAAAGCCGTCCCAAACAAAGCCTTAATGTTACATTTGATGACTAGATATTAAACATTAGCTTTTTGCATCTCTCTTGAGAAGTTCATAGCCCATTCATTTCTCTTGACAGATGTCCTGGATTCTGCATTTAACTCTTTTCAGAAGGGAATTTAATTAACTCTTTTCGCAGGGTGAACCTAAGTGCAGTTTTTATGGTCGCCATGGTTTCTGCGGATATGGCTCGACTTGCAAATTTGATCATCTAATAGCTGCACCCAATGTTCCTGTTGTTCAACAACCATTAGAGTCATCATCTGGGCCTGCCACGTTAACATTGTCAGCTGAAAGCTCTCTGTAGTCATCCCTGGAAAATTAAAACGCCTCCCCTCGTCCAAACGACAGAAAATGAATTCTGACAATGAGAAGGTATAATCTGAATGATGATGGAACCACCCAATCACTTGACGGGCTTTTCTCTATTTATTTCCTTTATGAGTTAAAAGCATTTCACCGGCCTAAGTCGAGTCATTCTAGCCAGAGGTGTCTATTCTTTTTTGAAGAGTGGCGCTGTTCATCTAAATAAAGACTACTTTCACTTGATAAATGTACTGGCCACCTCTTTACTTTACTGCAACGATGTTCTTCTTTACCCTTGTTTGTTACTTGGTCATGATGTTCCATCTATGTTAATTTATTCTCATTTAAGATCAACTGACAGTCCAAGAACATGTGAAAATTTTTGCTTTCTCACTCCCACCAATTTTTCCTTGTTTAAGGAATTTCCTTGATTCAATTGATTCTTTTAATCATTCAATAAAGTCTTTCAATTGTGTCTATCCATTCAAGCTGTAGATATTCACTAAACGGTCATCATCTTCACTGAAACTCAGTTTGTGAAGCCACTTCTATGAAACCTGTTGATTGTCGAAAAACAATTTGCTTCTCCGGAGCACGGTTGTTTTTGACCTTCTTCAGAACAACATATAGTCAGAGTTCAGAAAAGAAGTGCTGCTGCTTACAGGATGGCTTTTTAACCCTTTATAGCTCAGTTTTGACTCGACTTTCTGCATTGATAGATTTGGTTGCAAGGATAAACGTTGATGGGTGGGGTTGAGTTGATTCAGAATCTTTCTCTAATGCATTCCTTCCGGAATATCAGTTGTATTGGGATGCAATATGCCAGGTACCTGAAAACATGAAACGATTTCCTATTTTTTAATATTTATGCTCAATGAATAAAATTATCGAAGGCTGATATATGTTTCAAACTGCTTCAATGCGATCCACTATTCCTGGACCTTGTTTATTATCTTTCAATTCTAATGCTTGGAAAAAAAAAAGAAGATGTGATGAGGACATCGACAGACGCTACCGACATGTTTATCGCCGGCGAAACCGCAGATCGACTGCCACGATTCAGCGCCTCTACTTTTGATTGAGATGACATGATGTATTTTATTATTGTCTTGTTTGATTTACTGTTTTCCCATTTTACCCCTGTGGGGAGTTATGTTTCTTTGTAGCCCAGAGGGCAATTTAGTCTTTTTTACTTTTATAAGTCAAGACCTATATATAGTATAGAAACAGAAAAAGTTACATGTGTTGCTTGTTGAATGGTGATTTTGAAGTAATTCGTAGAAGTGGCATTGCTAGCTAAATTTTATGGGTTCTCGGTGTTTTCACAGTTTGGTGCAGTATGATGCTAGATTGCAGTTATAGCAAATGGATTTGTAATGTTAGTGCAATGACATCAAGGCGTATAATTTGGTTGTGACTTTGTTTCTGTACTAGTGAGGTGTAAGGTAGAACAAGTTGTTTATTTGTGAAATAATTTGAGAACAATAGAGAGGAGAAGACATGACAAGAGAGGAGAAAGAAAGCGGGGTTCGAGTCAACATATTTTTCATCGCTCTAGTTGTGAAAAGTACTCTAATTGTGATAGGTAACTTTAATTCTATTTCTATTTTTGATGATTTGAGTTTGTCTATTTTCTCTTTCTTAAATTTGATAATAATTACATCTCTCATTTTACTGTATTTCCACTATATAATTTTTATATGTGGTTCATATTCACCGTGAATGTTTTAATAGATTTATATTGAGATTTAATTGTTTGGTTTTGCATATATGTCATTTTTTCTAAAATAAGTAAGGTAATATAAAATACAAACCGATTAAGAGCTAATATATTATATCTAAACATAAAATACATGATATAAATAAATTTATTATTCAGCTGATCTAACATGCATCTTTGCCTAATACATACATATTGATGAGCACAATGCTAGTTTTATATGCTATTATAATTGTATAAGATATGTGCACGATGTGTGTTATTATAATATATATATATATATATATATATATATAAGATATTATATGAAATGTGTAAAAAAAAGAAAGATTGATTGACTGAAAAAGATTGATTGATTCAAGTTGATTAGATATGTGTTATCCTATACATGAGGATGAATTGAAAGGCTTTCCTTTAAATAAAATTTATGATGTAATCGTAAGTTACATTAAATGGGAGGTATAAGGAGATTGACTGATATGATATGACACGCTAACAATAAGGAAGTAACGACTTCTTACATGAAATTTACCTGACTTGTGATATGAGATTGATTTTTGTTTATATGAATGATTGAGACTGATTCTTATTTAATTTGAAGGGCATAAATGACTTGATATGAGAAAAACATATAAGTAGCCACATATTCTACCTTGCTTATTATTCATTATAGCACATACATAAGACAAGCACATATGATAAATTACATATGTGATATGATATAATATGATATGGCATGATACATGACATAATTAATATAGATATGTTATAAGCCTGATTCAAGGGTATATAATTCATTTGAGATATATGACATACATGATATAACTCATTTATACACGATGCAAAACATAACATATGTGCATTGATATTGTACGATATACATAGAACAGGTGTAGAACACTTGCTTGATATGAAAGGTATACTGATAACTATGAACATAAATATATTCATAATAGATCTGTTGCATTGCATTGGCATATGTATAAAAATGACATAATATGCTGATCCTTTATATGATTGTTGATCACCGATTCTAAATTACATTGCTTATAATGATTCCATTGCTCATATGAAATAACATCATTCATATAATTGTTACATGTTCTCAAAGTTAACATGTTTATTCTAATTTGGATGGAATAATTATATGCATTTTATTTGACTTATTTCTATTACCTTGCATTAATTATCAAAACATATTCATGAAAAATATATTTTACTTTAAATAAGAATATTAATTATATTTTTTATGTGATTGAGACATTTGAGTACTATAAAAATACATATAAAAATTTAAGCATTGGATATATAATATACAAGAATTTTATAGTAAGTATGTAAATCCCTCAAAATAAAAATTTTCAACAAGATCATGCAATTTGATCAGTTATCATAGAAGGTCAGCATTAATTATAAGCATGAGGTAAAATTGAAGCTGCCCATGACCACAGTACTCACAAAATTTCTCTTGTGCAAGCAGCGGAGCCATTGTTGTCTCTCATTAAGTTAATTTATGCAAGCTCTTATGAGCCTCCAGTAAACTCTCAAGAACTCGAAACTCCAAGAAAAAATTGAACGCGGACAAATAAAATTATTAGGCTTACCTCTTATACAGTAGAAATCTCCCGGTAAATAGAAGCCACGGCTCCGAAATTTCCTGGCAGCCATTTTAGAGGGCGAAGTGGATGACAACAAGGGGGAGCGCGCAAGTAAAACGGTCACGACCGCGTCCATGGCCGCCAACCAGCGTGCTTTCTCCCTCTCGTTGTCAATGCAAGAAGCCCAAGCAAAATATTGCCATCATCCTTCATCTACAACACAAAAAAGCATTTGCATCAGCAAAAGGATCGGAACTACGAAGGTAAGATTATTGTGAAACCCTAATGGAACAAAACGGCCTAATTGGCAAATGAAAGATCAAAAGTTAAAGAAGATGAAAAAGAATGAAGCATACAGGAGGAGGACATGCATGCCAGCGAGATCGAGAGAAGCGCACAAAACATGGTCGGTTTTGTCGATTATAAATAAGGTGCGGTAGAGCTCGGGTGACAAAATCAATGGTGGGAAGAAGAGATCTTGATCGACGGTTAGGACGGTTTAGTTCTACAGGTGTTGGCAAGACGACACGGACCATTTTTTACGGTACACCAAACGTGTACGGAAATACCATTGATGTTTGAGGCAATCACCGAAGGTGCCCCAAAATTTACTTTGTTTAGAGACGGGCGACGCGTCCGCTTCTCCGCCCGCGAGAACGAACTTTTATTCAGTCGGCCACCAATATTTTATGGCCAGGTAGTATGAAGAAAAGTCATAGACCCGACCGCTGTTTTTTGGGTTCTCGCACGTGCATTTTTTTAAATCCTTGACGAGCCGAACAAAATCCCATCACCTTTTGGATATATTTCAAATACCTAGCAATACCGAGCAAATACCAAGTTGTACCTA